TGACACAAACACCTCCCCTGAACAAACAACTCCCTGACACAAACACCTCCCTGACACAAATACCTCCTGACACAAACACCTCCCTGACACAAACAACTCCCTGACACAAACACCTCCCTGACACAAACACCTCCCCTGACAACAACTCCTGACACAAACACCTCCCTGACACAAACACCTCCTGACACAAACACTCTGACACAAACACCTCCCTGACACAAACACCTCCCCTGACACAAACAACTCCCTGACACAAACACCTCCCTGACACAAACACCTCCCTGACACAACACCTCCCTGACACAAACACCTCCCCACACAAACACCTCCCTGACACAAACACCTCCCTGACACAAACAACCCCTGACACAAACAACTCCTGACACAAACACCTCCCTGACACAAACATCTCCCTGACACAAACAACTCCCTGACTCCCTGACAATGTTCCTCTGTGGTAATGTTTGTGCAGGAGGGAAGAGAGGGGGGGAGAGGGGGAGGAGGGGGGAGAAGGAGGGGAGAGAGGAAGGGAGAGGGAGGAGAGAGGAAGGGAGAGGGAGGGAGACAGAGGAAGGGAGGGAGGGAAGAGAGGGAGAGGGTGGATTGTGGTGGGGGGAGGAAGGTAGGGCTGTGGAGGAGAGGGAAGGAGGGAGGGAGGGGCAGGGGAGGAGGGAGGGAGGGAGGGGCAGGTAGGGGAGGAGGGAAGGGTGCAAGGAGAGAGGAAGGGAGGGAGGAGGAGGGAGGAGAGAGAAGGGAGGAGGAAGTATAATATCAGGGCACTAAGATCTCCCTCACAACTTATGGTCACTTGCCTGTTTCTAGAGCGTGGAGAATGTGTGTAAGTAAATGACTGTACGTACACACACACACACACACACACACACACACAACACACTTATTACTGTTGGCTGAATATTGAGTTTTAAGTTATGTGTACCTAACCCAACCTAACCTAACATAACCAAACCTAACCTAACCTAACCCAACCAAACCTAACATAACCAAACCTAACCTAACCTAACCTAACCCAACCAAACCTAACATAACCCAACCAACCCAACCAACCAACCTAACCCAACTAACCTAACTCAATCCTAACCTAACCTAACCTAACCTCGTTCCTCAGTCAGATTGACATTTTCAAATGAGTTAAACCAAAGATTAATGATTTTTTTTCCACCTCCGCTGAATTAGTTAGTTGACCTTTTGACCTATGCTGACCTTCCTCCCCCCCTCCCAGTGACAAAGTTAGTTGACCTTTTGACCTATGCTAACCTCCCTCCCCCCCTCCCCTCCCAGTGACTCGGCGAAACGATCTAAAAACCACTGTTAATTTTATTCTTGATTGACTTTTGACCATCGTTAACCTGCATAGTTGACCCATGACTCGATGATGACCCATGACCAGGACGACCCATGACTCCAGTTGAACTATGACTCGATGAAGACCCATGATCCCAGATGACCTATGACCCCAGATGACCCATGACCCCAGATGACCTATGACCCAGACGACCATGACCCCAGATGACCCATGACCCCAGATGACCCATGACCTCAGAGGACCAATGACCCCAGATGACCCATGACCCCAGATGACCCATGACCCAGATGACCCATGACCCCAGATGACCCATGACCCCAGATGACCTATGACCCCAGATGACCCATGACCAAGATGACCCATGACCGGACTCACCGTGGGCGGAGGTAGCGAGGCGAAGATCGTCTGGGACTGGTCGATGAGTCTCTTGATGAGGTCAATCTGTTCTATGGTGAGCTGAACCGCGTTGAGCCTCTGAGACTCACAGGCACGTAGGATACCCAGAACTGTGGGGGGGGAGGGTACAGTTAGTGGCACCAGGGCACGTAGGATACCCAGAACTGTGGGGAGGAGGGAGTAGTTAGTGGCACCAGGGCACGTGGGATACCCAGAACTGTGGGGAGGAGGGTATAGTTAGTGGCACCAGGGCACGTGGGATACCCAGAACTGTGGGGGAGGAGGGTATAGTTAGTGGCACCAGGGCACGTAGGGATACCCAGAACTGTGGGGGAGGAGGGTACAGTTAGTGGCACCAGGGCACGTAGGATACCCAGAACTGTGGGGGAGGAGGTACAGTTAGTGGCACCAGGGCACGTAGGATACCTGAACTGTGGGGAGGATAGTATAGTAGGCACCAGGGCACGTAGGATACCCAGAACTGTGGGGAGGGAGGGTATAGTTAGTGGCACCAGGGCACGTAGGATACCCAGAACTGTGGGGGAGGAGGTACAGTTAGTACCAGGGCACGTAGGATACCCAGAACTGTGGGGGGAGGAGGGTATAGTTAGTGGCACCAGGGCACGTAGGATACCCAGAACTGTGGGAGGAGGGTATAGTTAGTGGCACCAGGGCACGTAGGATACCCAGAACTGTGGGGGAGGAGGGTATAGTTAGTGGCACCAGGGCACGTAGGATACCCAGAACTGTGGGGAGGAGGTAGTTAGTGGCACCAGGCACGTAGGATACCCAGAACTGTGGGGGAGGAGGGTACAGTTAGTGGCACCAGGGCACGGGATACCAGAACTGTGGGGGAGGGAGGTACAGTTAGTGGCACCAGGGCATGTAGGATACCCAGAACTGTGGGGGGAGGAGGGTACAGAGGCACCAGGGCACGTAGGATACCCAGAACTGGGAGGGAGGGTATAGCAGTGGCACCAGGGCACAGGATACCCAGAACTGTGGGGGGAGGAGGGTACAGTTAGTGGCACCAGGGCACGTAGGATACCCAGAACTGTGGGGAGGAGAGGTACAGTTAGTGGCACCAGGGCCCGTAGGATACCCAGAATGGGGGGAGGAGGGCATGTTAGTGGCACCAGGGCCCGTAGGATACCCAGAACTGTGGGGAGGAGGGTACAGTTAGTGGCACCAGGGCACGTAGGATACCCAGAACTGGGGGAGGAGGGTACAGTAGTGGCACCAGGCCTGTAGGATACCCAGAACTGTGGGGGAGGAGGGTATAGTTAGTGGCACCAGGGCACGAGATACCCAGAACTGTGGGGGGAGAGGGTATGTTAGTGGCACCAGGCCTGTAGGATACCCTGAACTGTGGGGAGGAGGTATAGTTGTGCACCAGGGCACGCAGGATACCCAGAACTGTGGGAGGAGGAGGGTACAGTAGGCACCAGGGCACGGGATACCCAGAACTGTGGGGGAGGAGGCAGTAGTGGCACCAGGGCACGTAGGATACCCAGAACTGTGGGGAGGAGGGTAGTAGGCACCAGGGCACGTGGGATACCCGAACTGGGGAGGAGGAGGGTACAGTTAGGCACCAGGGCACGTAGGATACCAGAACTGTGGGGGAGGAGGTTAGTGGCACCAGGGCACGTAGGATACCCAGAACTGTGGGAGGAGGAGGGTATAGTTAGTGGCACCAGGGCACGGGATACCCAGAACTGTGGGGAGGAGGTATAGTTAGTGGCACCAGGGCACGTAGGATACCAGAACTGTGGGGGAGGGGGAGTTTGTGATTCACACCTCACACACACACACACACACACACACACACACTCTCTCTCTCTCTCTCTCTCTCTCTCCTCCCCCTCCCTGGCGAGTCTGTCAGCCCCCCCTCTTCAAGACACACACACAATGGCTGTCATTCTTTTGTCTCTAAGAACGACAGCATGTCATTCTTATCTCTGTTCCGTCGTGTCTCTCTCTCTCTCTCTCTCTCTCTCTCTCTCTCCATCACTCGTCATTAGTAAGGCAGGTACAGTCTCACCCAACTACTCCATTATTCACCGTAAGATTAATTCTAAGGTAAAACATTAAGGCAAGACTTATGACCTACTGAGAAATATTGTCTTCCTCGTAAATCTTCCTTATGTCTCACCATCAAGTCTCTCTCTCCATAATGTCTTACTTATTTTAATATTTACAGGAGAATATTTTTTTTGTCTTATATTCCTGTATGTATTTATTTTATTTATATATTTTTTAATTTTTCTATATTTTTATTGATCGTTTAGTCCATAAATTCGTTTATTATCTATATTTATTTATTTCTTTACTTTATAAACATTAATTGTAGATGAAAGTATATTATTATTATTATTATTATTATTATTATTATTATTATTATTATTATTATTATTATTATTATTATTATTATTATTATTATTATTATTATTATTATTTATTATTATTATTATTATTATTATTATTATTATTATTATTATTATTATTATTATTATTATTATTATTATTATTATTATTATTATTTTTATTATTATTATTATTATTATTATTATTATTATTATTATTATTTTATTATTATTATTATTATTATTATTATTATTATTATTATTATTATTATTATTATTATTATTATTATTATTATTATTATTATTATTATTATTATTATTATTATTATTATTATTATTATTATTATTATTTTATTTATTATTATTATTATTATTATTATTATTATTATTATTATTATTATTATTATTATTATTATTATTATTATTATTATTATTATTATTATTATTATTATTTATTACCTTAACACTCACCTGGGCAGGACCACACATCACCTGGGCAGGACCACACACTCACCTGGGCAGGACCACACACCTCACCTGGGCAGGACCACACACTCACCTGGGCAGGACCACACATTCCCTGGGCAGGACCACACACTCACCTGAGCAGGACCACACCTCCCCTGGGCAGGACCACCTCACTGGGCGGGACCTCACCTGGGCAGGACCACACACTCCCCTGGGCAGGGGCCACACTCCCTGGGCAGGACCACACACTCACCTGGGCAGGACCACACACTCACCTGGGCAGGACCACACACTCACCTGGGCACCCCATGCCCTCCTTCAGTCTGGGCAGGTCAGTATGGGACCAAGAGGACCTGGACCACGGACAAGTTTCTTCAGCTCGGCCGTGAAGTTGAAACTGTGAAGTTTATTGTGCATAAACTTCCTGATGTTCACAGCAGGTCGTTGTGTCTGCCGGAGGAAGGTGTGTGTGTTAGTCTCTCTCTCTACGGCAGGTCGTTGTGTCTGCCGGAGGAAGGTGTGTGTGTTAGTCTCTCTCTACGGCAGGTCGTTGTGTCTGGAGGAAGGTGTGTGTTAAATAAAGGTTCCAATACCCCCTCTCCCCTCCCCCGCCCTCATTAAAACTCCCCCAAATCTCTAGTCTTCCACCTATTTTTCCCCGGTTCAGAACCCTCCCCTCCCCTACCTCGGTCCACTACTTCCTGAATTCATTAGTTCTAGTGTTTGGTTTAACCCTCCCCTCCCCCTCTGTGAAGGAGTCCTCTGGTGGATAATCTATAGCACTGGTTTAAGTTCTTGGTTTACATTATTTTCGGGTGGGGGGCAGGAGAGTGGGGTAGGGAGTGTATACTCGTTAAAAAATTTTTGGGTCCGTATAAATTGTTAATTGACGTGATTTTGTTTAGGATGAGTTTGTTGTTTTCTGTATCTTGTTTATTTATTTTCTTCTGTAATTCTCGGTTTTATTATCTCTTATCAGTTATCTATATGTCTCTCTCTCTCTCTTCTTCTCTCTCTCTCTCTCTCTTTTTTATTTTTTGCATTTTTGTGCCCACAGGAAAATTAATTTGTCTTTCATTACTAAATTTGAATGGACGATGGTAATTAAAAACAGAGAAAAGAAGCTCTCATAACCAGAGCTAGAGACTCGAGCAGAGAGAACTATTCTCGGGAAAAACAGAGAGGAGAGAGAGAGAGAGACCTCCTACCTCCTCATCTCCATAACCAAAGCTAAGAGACTGTATCGAACAGGAGAGATACATTATTCTCGTGGGAAAAACAGAGAGAGAGAGAGAAAGAGAGAGGGAGAGAGAGAGACTATACCTCTCTCCTCCTATAAACTATTCTCAGATCACGAAAAAACGACTCAGTGGATGACTTATGTTCCCAGAGCAGAGATGAAAGAGGGTGAGGGAGGGAGGGAGGGAAGAGGGAAGCGGGGGAGAAGGAGGGAAAGAAGGGAGGGAAGGGGAAGAGGAGAAGGGAGAAGAAGAGAGGGAAAGAAGGAGAAGGAATGTAACAGAACAAATTTGACCCAAATACGAATTACATTTTATATATTTTTAGCAATAGAAAGACATTATCCCTGTCTGTCTGTCTTGCTGTGTGTGTGTCTGTCTGTCTGTCTGTCTGTGTCTGTGTCTGTCTGTCTGTTTTTCCTACTTTCCGAGATATGTAAATACAATTACACACACACACACACACACACACACACACACACACACACACACACACGTATATTGTCAGCTGTTGTTTATGTAAATGTTAATTAGATATTTCTTATATTCACCAAGAAAGTTAACATGAGTGTTGTTCTATAATATTGAGAGAAATTATTCGTAAAATGTGGTTTTTTTTTCTCATGTCAACAACAGCTGACGTAATTACTCGGTGAAGCAGGTAAACAAACTGTGACGTCATCACTGAGTGTCATCAAGTCCTGACGTCACTCTTCTATTCAAAGTGTAAACAAATCCTGAATCCCTTCCACCAATCAAAACATAAATAAACCATGACGTCACCCTTGCAAAACCATGACATCGCAGTCCCTTCCACCAATCAAAACATAAATAAACCATGACGTCACCCTTAAAAACCGTGACATCACAGCATTACGTCACTAACCCGTCAAAGAGCGGCGTCTCTCTGAGTAGCGTCTTGGCCGACTCTAGACGTTGGTGGAGAGACGCCCCTGGGTCGACCCGTAGAGCGAGAGGCACGCCCACGCCCACCAGCCACGGCCGCCAGCACCAATACCACACACCCACACCTTGTCCTCGCCCCTAGCCCGTCCTCTGAAGGGTAGAACAGAGAAACTGGGACGAATGATGGGAAATGGAAGAAAATGGGAAATGGAGAGATGGAAATGGAGAAGATGGGAAATGGAGGAATATGGGGAAATGGAGAGAAAATGGATAATTGAATTCTAAGGTAATTTTAATTATCCATAAACATCACCACGTAACTCTCACACACACACACTCACACACACACACACACACACACACACACACACACACAGACAGAAAATAAATTAAAATTAGTGGGAACGTTTTAGCAAATGTTTAATAAGACACATGAAGGAGACCAGACGGAAATAGACAGAAATAGACAGAGAAATAGACAGACAGAAATAGACAGACGAAATAGACAGACAGAAATAGATAAAATACAGACAGAAATAGACAGAAAATAGACAGGGGAAATTGACAGATAAAATAGACAGATATGAGGAAATGGTGAGAGTAAATGTTATCATGGAGGAAAGATAGCAAGGAGGAGGGAGAGGGTGAGGGAGGGAAGACAGACAGACAGACAGACAGAACAGACAGACAGGACAGACAGACAGACAGGACAGGAGATACAGTGATAATTACCAGAGAAATAAACTATTTATTTTCTTTATCTTCTAACATGTAATTATTATTTTTTTTTTTGTGGAAATTAATCAACACAAAAATTATCGCGTTCATTAATAATTATATTGTGGCATAACATTGTCTTCACCATTGTTTACATTATTCCGTTTTCTATGAATTTGTTTACAGTTTTTTACGTTTTCTATGAAGGATATTGTTTACAAATAGGTTCAGATAGACAGACATAGACAGAGGAAGAGGAAGAAAGAGAACTAGACGAATAATACAGACAGACAGACAGAAAGGAGAAAGAAAAATGAGAGATGATAATAAAATAATAAGAAAAGGAGAAGAATAAGAGACAGAAAAAAAATAAAGAGAGGAGCAGAAGAATGAGAGAATAAAGGAAAAATAGAATGATAATAAAGAAGGAAAAGAAAAAGACGAGGAAGAGAGAAACCCGAAAATATAAGATACAAAAAGGAAATGCATAACGATGGGCGTGCAGGAGATGATACCGTGGGGGGGGACAAGGGCTATTATGGGCTGAGGTGAGGTGAGGTGACAGTGAGGTGACAGAGAGGCAACTTATGGAGGAGAGATCATCACCTGAGAGAGAAAGGGTGAGAATGTGAGGGTGAGAATGTGAGGGTGAGAATGTGAGGGTGAGAGAATGAGGGTGGAGAATGAGGAAGAGAATGTGAGGGTGGAGAATGAGAGAATGTGGGAGGGGGGAATGTGAGGGTGAGAATGTGAGGGAGAGAATGTGAGGGTGAGAGAATGTGAGGGTGAGAGAATGTGAGGGTGAGAATGTGAGGGAGAGAATGTGAGGGTGGGAATGTGATGGAGAGAATGTGAAGTGAGAATCTAATTAGATATATATATTTTATCTTGCATATATAAATACATTTATTTCTTGCTTAAACTAACCTAACCTAACCTAACCTAACCCAACCCTGATTATGAAGTCGTTGCATCACACACACACGGAATAAATGATAATTATCCCGTGATTTACGTTAATGAGACAGTGAAGAGCTAATTAACGAGTCAATTACTGAAGGAAGAGAGAGAATTGGTAATTACGCCAATCACAGAAGAGCGAGAGGAGGGAAAAAAATATATCATGGTTAAAAATAATGCTGAAAATATTTCCCTGGAGACGATAAGGTTGATAACTGTGTGACTGAGGAGGGAGAAATGACACCTACTGAACACCGGGTCTGAGATGTACGTAATTAAAGTGTCAATTAAGGAGGCGAAAATGTATAAGGAGCCAATCAAAATGCTGGAAATTCTTGACAGGTCGGGAAGAACCAATGAAAATGCTTCAAAACGTGTGATAGTTGGGATAGCCAATGAAAATGCTTGAAAAAAACTCATGGTTTTTGGAAAAGCCAATGAAAGTACTCCAAAAATTCATGTCAGTTGCAATAGCCAATCAAAATGCTAAAACTCACGACAGATGGAATAGCCAATCAAAATGCTGGAAATTCGTGGTAGCCAGGAGTAGCCAATAAGAAATTCAAGAAATCTCACGGCAGCTGAGGCAGAGCCAATTAAAACTGTGGAAGATTTCAGGCAGCTGTGAACAACCAATCGTAAAATTGTAAAGTTGAATGTAAGGAATAGCCAATCGAAATACTGAGAATTTGAGGACCACTGGCAAGAACCAATCACAATGCCGGAAACTCGAGACAGCCGTGGAATAGCCAATCAAAATACAGGAAACACGTGACAGCTGGAGAGAGATTCGATGTTTTTTTTCCCGTTTCTTTCACATATTTATCAATTTACCTCATTATTCATTTATTAACTTACTCATTCATTTAAATTTATCTGTATAATTTCTTTCTATTTTTATTAATTTATTCCACATTCTTAAATCATTGCGGTGTTTTATTTACTGTTTGTTTTGGTGTTTTTAAAAGAACTCGACTTCCTTGCCAATAATTTTAGCCCCCTGTAAGGTTGAATGGGGTTCCAATTATCAAATATTTAAGGAGTGGGGAGAGAGAGGGAGGGAAAGAGGGAGAGAGAGGGAGGGAAAGAGAGGGAGAGGGAGAGAGAGGGAGGGAAAGAGGGAGGGAAAGAGAGGGAGAGGGAAGGAGAGGGGAAGAGAGGGAGAGAGTTGTTGGCAAGGTGTAAGGTCTAATGAGGTTCCAATTATCAAATATTTGAGGAGGGAGAGAGTGAGAGGGAGGGAGGGAGAAGAGGGAGGGAGGGAAAGAGAGGGAGGGAAAAAGGGGGCAAGAAGAAAGAGTGAGAGGGAGGGAGGGGGGAGAGGAAAGAAGAGTTTTGAAAGGTGTCTTAATTCAGATTTTGCTTATAATTAAAGTTGTTTTATTTTTGACCACTCGTTTTAAACCCAATCATATTAAACCAAAGAAATGTTTTATTTTTTTGGTTTTATTTCCTTATTTTTTCATTCACTAAACCATATTATCGCTTCCTTATTTTACCTTATCATTAGTTTATTATTATTACAGTTATTATCATGTTATCTTTTACGTCTCTTATCTTGGTAATGTAAGAATGTTATCTAAACTACGACACAACGGTGGATTCTAAAAGGTTCTTAAGTTCAATTGAATTCTTAACTTAGGTTCTAACTAACATTATAAATATCTCCAGTTAAGGCTGACATATAGTGTAGTGAAGATCCCGGAATTTGAGAGGCTGGGTTGGCACGTCCCAATACCTCACAGGAAATTGTCGAGAGGAGGGGAAAGTGGTTGCCGTGTTCTCTCTCTCTCTCTCTCTCGCTATTCGTTTTCGTTCACTTTTCTTCTGTTTCCGGTCTTTCCATATATATATTACCCTTTGTTATTGCTGTTTATCTTCTCTCTTCTCTTCTCTTCTCTCTTCACTTTTCTATTCTCTTCTCTCTCTCTTTGCTGTTTTATTCTGCCTTATTACTGCTTCTTATTTTCTCGTCTTTCTCTCTTATTTCATTCTACTGTTTATCTTTATTTAATCTCTTCTTCTCCTCCGTTTTCCTTTTGTTATTGTTATCGTCTTTTGTTTCCCCCCTTTCGTCTTTCGCTTCTTCTTCTTCTTCTTCTTCTTTAGTTCCTTCGTTTGTAATTTATTCCTTGTTTTGGTTTCTTCCCATTTCCCTTCGTTCTTATTTTCGTCTCTTTGTATTCACTTCGTTTCTTTTATTTCCGTCTAATTCGTCTCTCCTTCGTCTATTATCCCATTATTCCTCTCTTCTTTATCACGTGTCATATTTCTCTCTCTCTTTATTATAAATTTCTCCTTATTATCGTTTATTTTTCTTTCTTGTTCTTATCTGTTTTGTTTATCAGGTATTTTCTTTTGTTTTTGTTTTAATCATTTCTGTTTTTCCTATTTTTCTTATTTTCTATTACGTATTTTTTTTATCTTATTCTTTTAATTTCTTCGTTTTAGTTTATTTATTTTTCTATTTATATCCTTCTCTTCCTTCTTTCATGTTGTCTCCTTTTGTTAATTTTGTTAATTTTGTTAATTTTGTTCATGTTAGTTTTCATTATCATAAAACCTCTGTCAACTTTAACCTAGGTCCACTTCCCTTCATGCATGTTTAAGTTATTCCAAGTGACTTAAGCCACTAGGAGGATCATGAGAGAGAGAGAGACCCGTTTTCTCTTTAATTCTGTTTTTCTTTTTGCGGAATTAAAAATAAAATAATGAAAGAAAAATGACTATAAACCTGACGCTGGCAATTATGTCACAGTGTGTGGGGACTTGTGTAGAAACGAGAACAATGCAGAATGAAATAAGGTGTTACACTGTGAATGTTAAGTTACCCCTTGAGAGAGATGTCACCTGTCCACGTTTTCTTTCGTACACAATTACTGGAATCTGTATGGAATAAAAGCCACCAAAGTAACGTTGCAAAAACCCCCTTCTGGTAACTTTACAGCTGGACGGAGTTTCTAAAAGCCTGAATCTGAAGCAGAATATGAACGTGCAGAGTTTTGTAAAATGGTTAAGTCACCGCCTATATATAAAATCGATTTCTTTGTTATAAAAAACGGGAAATTTTAGATAATATCTTAACTAAATTGATACTTCACCTAGTTAATATTTGTACTGTTAAATAATAAGACTAACATGTGTTAACCTAACCTAATATAGTCTAAACTAACCTAAAATAATCTTGCCAAACCAAACGTAACCTAACCAAACCCAACCCAAATTAAATTAACCTAATCTAACCAAACATAACTTAACCTGACCAAGCCTTCGCGACCATAGAATAGTTTAGAGGGTTAAATTAGGGTAAATTAGGTCAAATCAGTCCATCTTTACCAAATAATTCAATCACACCCAGGAGCTTCTCACTTAACCACCACAACTACTACAATACACTACAGTACCTTATGTGAATTCCCATTTCCATCCCTTCCTCAATATTTAAGTTACCCCTTCACTATAATAACACGTTT